ATCAATGCTTCGAGAAGCAAACAAATTTACTAGGAAAGAAAGTTGCATCAATTTTTATTTTTTCCAATTTCAATTTTTTATTTTCTATAATTTTTTGTATTTCACATGGCACGCTTTGATTTAGAAGAAAAAATTCACAACAGTTTTTGACACTTTCGATACCAGAAGCAACAACAAAATACACGCAAATGTTGTTTTTGCTCTACTGATACTACCTGTTTAATGTGCCTTGGTACGAAGCAATTTTATTCGTTTTGAAAATAACTTTGCTATTTGTGTTAATTTTTCTTTATTTTAACTTTAGCTTCATGCTTTATTAAACTACAATTTATTTGTACATACACCCCGTGTCATAATTATAAGCCTACCACATATTGACAAGTTTAAAGGAAAAAAAAACTTTTTTGTTATCTAATTTTTATAAATTTTTTGAATAAAAATATAGTTTATCCTTATTAAAACCCGTATACATTCTAGTTTAAATATATGTAATATTAAAAAATCATAAAATAACAAAGCGGCATACTCAAAATCTTAGAAAAAATTAAAAAGCTCGAATTATTACGAAAGTTGGTGTATTTTTTATAAATATTGCACAAAGTCTGAAACTTGGATTTATGCGAGGTTGGTTAAAGAATAAACAATGTTTTTATAAAAAACTAACCTATGCCAGCTTTCTTCGCGGCGCCAATGCAAAAGAGCGTTTAAAAGCAAAAATAGTCTGCAAAGTCAAAATTTTTGGTTTAAGTTGAAACCACTAAGGTGCAGTATCCTCCCTCCCACATCTTCCAATAATAGTAACGCTGTGATACCATATAGAATACCAATCCCTTTCGGTGTCATGAGCTTTACCAATGGTCTTATTTCCACCTGTGAGATCTCTGCCAAGCATGCGTAATCTTTTTGTATGATCTTGCAACTACAACATTGGTGCGATGCGTATGCCAATAAAAATTCTTATAAGGAAACTCAAGAGCACAGAAGTGCGGTTTATGTTATAGGAGGTCCAAGAATCCTCGCTGCCCCACAGGACATTGGCTAAATGAGTCGTGTGATCTCTTGAATATCTTTCGAATGAAGCAATTGATATACATACCTACGGTGATCTTTCCTTGTTAATTCGCCACTTTTACAATTCGTGGTGATATTTAGATTAAATTTAGATTTAGTAGATGCTAGATCGTGCATGAGGGCGTCAGACAAACTTAACCCCATCCTTCATTTAGACATCTGAAAACTAAATTCGTATAACTTAAACAACCAGACCAACCACACGGGGTTTCTATACATTTCGGCTGCAGCGCCATCCATTGAGTCCATTTTCTGCAAAACCATTGCTTATCATAGAATGAATACGTGTTATGAATTTCAACCTCGACTCCAGCGGCACTCATCGGGTAAATTTTTATCAAACGAATTATCCACCATACAGGTACATAGCTCACATTTAAAATTTGAACGAAATCGGTTAATAAATACGATTTTTATAAATAAATCTACTCCAGCACCACCTAAAGAGTTTTCTAGTAGCATGTAATAGGGCCATATATGTATTCTATTCAGTGGTTTTTCAGTTTAGACCGAACAACGCAAATAGGTATCACGATCCAGAAAATAAAGGTCGTGCCATTCGCGGACCGCTAACCCTCTCTTCTTCGATTGGACAGCATCGACCAAATCGCTGACGTCATAATATACTTTTGTTTACATTCACTGTTGCCAACTTGATGTGTTTCGCACCAAATTTAGTGGGTATTCAAAACACGAAAATTTGGAATTTTGTGCTTGATGCGTTTTTGGTGCTTTTGTTTTTAGTTTGAAGACTTCAAATTAGAAAATCTTAAAAAAATGGAAGCAAAATGTATAGCAATCGTAAGTGTGCTAAGCAATTTTACAAAAATTTAAACAAAATCATGGCACGGTGATAATCATAAGCGACAGCAGCACCTTCAATCATGCCAGAAGAAATCGACCGTTATGCAAGAAACATTGATTTTTATTAATTTGAATCGGCATCCTTACAATAAAATTATGTATTCATATAAAGTCCATAAAATACTCCAATACAAATTTGGTGCTTTTTCAAATTAAAAACTTGGCAATACTGCCTTTTGTTCGATGCTTCATCTTTTTCTTGTCGAGTTCGTCTTGCTCTCTCATTCTGGTATATTTTGACGTCACGGCCAGTTGCTCTCAGCTCGATTGGCGCAATCTTGTATTCTATCATTCTTGAATAGGTATGTAGATATGACAGTCTATAGCGAAACTCGGAAAATCAAAGCTCCCTTCTTTGTGAAAAATTAAAAAAAATGCTTCAAAATTTTCACATAAGTTTTACCTTTTACTATGAATTAAAAACAAAGTTACAATAGTTCAATGGGATTTAGAAATGCAGGAGAAAATGGTTCCCAATCGAATAATACTTACACGTTTACGTAAATGTATGTATATCGATCCAGCCTTTCTAATAATTACCACTTTTCGCCATAAGTATTTCAAATTTCAGGACGTTAGCGTAAGCGGTTCCAGAGATAAGCTATATGAGAAGTTCAGTTTGAATGGAAGGTGCCACCCGCCATTTCCAATGCATTTGCAATATATGCATCAGTGCTAAGTTTCAGGTCCCCAGCGTAATTGGTTTTAGAGATATATTGGTTTTTTACGTTTTAGTCTGTACATGAATTTTTGGAATATCCCGAGCTATATACCGAGTAAAATTTTGGTCGGAATATTTATTTTCAAGTGGTAGCATATGTTCCAAATATGAACCAAATCGGTACAGCCGTTAAGTAGTTTAGTGAAATACATTTTACAGAAAACTGTATGAAATGGTAAAGCGTGACGTCTCAGATTTCTTAATTTGTTGGCAGCACAACAAAAGGTTTTTATTTTTTTTAGCGAAAAAACTTCGATTCTATACAAAAAAGGTCAATATACCCAATAAAGTAGGACTAATACTTCAGAAGATTATTGCAATTTTATTAAAAAAATGTATTACTTAATTTATTTATTAATTTTTGATGGACTTGGGCGAGCCTAAGATATTGACCAAAAATTGTTTCACACAGATTTTTTTTAGAGCATAGTGAACCATATTTTTGCTATTACCAATCAAAATTCTAAAAAAAGCGGATTTTCGGCCCACGCTAATTTATAGATTACTAAAATTAAATAACAAAATATAATAAGGTGCGCTTATAATTATGACACGGGGTGTATTTGCTGTTTTGTATGTATGCATGTGGTTTTTTTATATAATTTTTTTTTTAGATTTATGTATATGTATAAGTAATAGCAACTAAGCTAATGCTAGCACTGTAAGGACGAATTCTGCAAAAGGTCAACGTGTTCACGATTGATGTTTTTGTGTTTTGAAATTTGTTGTTTATGGGTTTGCGTTTTTTTCTTATATATATATATATGTATGTATATGTATATGTATTTTTATCTTATAATTGTTTTTTAATTATTTTCGCTATATAGTCCTCAAGTATTATGTGTGTATGTTTTTAAATATGCAAGTATGTATTTTTGTATATGTGTATGTAGTATGTATCGCTCAACACTATTTAAGTACTCTAACAATTAGTATAACTAGACTAATTTTTTTATACTTTTTTTTTAATAACTAACTTATTTTTTCTTAGTTTTGGTTTAGCTATATGCCTGCGCAGTGGTATGCATGTATTTATGTAAAATGCGAGTTCTTGTCTTTAATGTCCATGTTCTTGTTACTTTATCGCATATTTTTTACGAATATATAAATGTAATTCAATTGCATATGTGTGTGTGTTTGAATGTGTTTGGCGTAATGCCATAGCAGAGAGCGCTAGTTTTTTAGGCAGCTAACTGAGTAAAGTACATACATATATAGAAATAGTTTTTATTTTTTATTTTTTATACATACATATATTTTATAGTTAATTTTTTGTTATTTCAACGTTTAATTCCTCTTATTTTTGTGAATGCTTAAAATTTACAGTTAGCTTGCTATTTTGTTTAAACTTATTTAATTCTGAATTTTCTGTGTTCGAAATGCCTTGAGTATTTTTTTTTTCCAACTCCATTTCACTTTTGCCAATTTGCTTCATCTAATGTATGCGTTTTATTTATATGTATGCAATTTTATGTTAATGAACAGTTTGCTAATTCCATTTGCTAAATTTGTTGTTGTTGTTATTTTAATATAGTTAACAAACTGTAATTTACATTTGTTTATTTAACCACTTTTAAACTTTTTTATGTATTTTTTTATTAGTATTATTATTATTTTTTTTTTGGAAATACAGGTGTGAAGTTTCGCTTAAATTGCTAAAAGTGATTTGTAACTAAATATAATTTATAAGTACTTGTTTATATAAGTATTCATTTAAAGTTGTAAGTATTTATGTATGTATACGTTTTAGCCAGTTTAAGCCGCTTGCTTTAAATATAGATTGGATTCTCCTGGCCGGTAAGTAATCGGAACATTGATGTTGGCATAGTTTTCATTAGAATCTGTAAGAGAAGAATTTAAAAAGGTATTTAATAGCTAGCCGGCTTCCTATGCGCGAGGCTTCGCCACGCTCAGAATGATATCATATATTTTTGTAAACAGGCGGCAACTCTATTAAAAAACTGAAATCTTATTGCACATCTGAAGACCAAGTGCTTTCAGTTTACACCGCACTTTTTAGTCCAACGAACAGCCCACATCTTATATATATATATATGTATATTTCTTTTGGTGGCAACCCTGCAAAGTTTTATAGTGATCCAAAAACAGTAAAGTCGGAATTTTTATGCCGCCACTCCCTAGGACTGTTCTATACCGAAAAAAAAAATATTTTTATGGAGTGCTCAGAGCGCTCAAAGTTTTCCATGTATTTTATATCGGGAAAAACAACTTTCGTCATTATTAATTTAACCGTTTTTTAATACTAAAAAGTTTTTATTGGTCCCCCCATTGTGCATTTTCTGGGGTTTTGCCGGATCTATAAAATTTAGTTACCATGAAAAAACGGTTAAAATAACAATTGGGTATAATTATTGGAAATTTCCTGAAGAGAAACGAAGTTTTTCGATCGAAAAATATTGATTTTTAAGAATTCAACACCATTTCTAAGAAAAGTTGTTTTCCCCACATAAAATATATGGAAAACTTTGAGCGCTTTGAGAACCCCCTAATATTGTTTTTTTATTTCAAAATAAAAAAAACAGGGGTATAATCCTTTCAGTGTAGAATAATCCTAGGGGAAGGCGGCACTAAAATTCCGACTTTACTGTTTCCACGTGCATTTTTGGATCACCCCAATTTACATACGTTTACATAATGAATACATAAATTGGAAAAGATATCACAAAAAACCTTTTGTACTAATAATAACTTCTTTTTAACATTAAATGTTGTTTTAAAAAAGATATTTAAGATATCCATGATTGTTTACAACTAATCAATGACAACGATCTCAAACATGTCATTATATAAATATGTATTTGATTTCCGTAAATTTTTGTCAATAATGTCAGTAATAATGCGTCAAACGCATAAAAAATGCAAAAAAGTGTACTTCTTTTTCTTTCAGTGTAGGTACTGCTTTTCTTTCCATAAAAAATTGTGAAGGAACTGCTTTCTCAATTTTAGCTATATATTGAATATTTATAATATTTTCGAGGTATTTGAAGAGGGTTGCTACCTGTTTAAAATGTTAAATTCAAATTTGGCATTTTAACGTCATGCGGGCAATAAAAAGAGAAGACGTTTCACTTCAGATGTACCTAGGATCCACACACAACTTTTGTTTTTTAAGTGTAGAAATAAAATCATTTTGCTTACCTCGCCCACAGAAGTCGCTAGCAGATTGACGATCTTCTCATGTGGCACTGCGACCACACTTTGGTTATTGATTTCAATTATGCGATGCCCCACGCGCACACCGCCACGCTCAGCGATGCCACCACGTAGCAAACTGCAAATCTGTGAAAGTTAAAGGTGTAATTTGTAATAATTTTTCTATAAAAAAAAATGACCTAAGTTTCACATGTTATCTTTGAAGCTCACTCACCACACCATTTTGTACACTGAAACCGAGTTGGTACTTGGTATTGGGTCGTTTGATTTTAACCTCGACTACAGGTGCGCATGGCACTACTGTAAATTTGACTACCGTTTGATTTTTGGTATTCTTTATGTACGTTTGACACGTGGATAACGGTAACCCCACCAAACTTAGCCCATTGATGGCAATCAACTGATCGCCAATATTCAATTGACCACAACGCGCCGCAGCGCCGGACGACATAAGATTCGCAATGACCACAGTTGGCAGCATTGAACCCCAACCGCTTTCCACAATCACTACACCCAATATCTCGCCCTTTGCCTTAGGAACGACCACTTCCTTCTGCAGCTCCTTTTTGGCGAAAATTTCCAGTTCATCGCCGAAAATCTCCTGACTGTTGAGCACCTCTTGATAGTCCATTTCCTTGACAAAACTATGATCCTCAATTCCATTTGCTTTAAGGAACTCCATGTAGGCCACCTGGAAGGCCTGTCCAATTGATTGTGCTATGAATTGCGCTTCATCACTCTCGAATACATGGCAGATCATTTTGGGTGTGCGATTCGGCTTGGGCGCATCATCAATGTCCTGCGGCACGAAGCGGCGGCGTGCCATCAACACAACCAAATCGCCAATGTCTGCGATGTAGGAGATGGTGCGCAGCGCATGGTCCATCATGATTTCCTTGAGGTCTGTGTTGAGTACCATTATTTTTTCGGTTGATATGAAGAGGTCCACCTCGGTGCTAGGTTGTACATCGCCATCGGGTGCCTAGAAGGTGGAGGGAAAGGAAAATAGATAATCCCTCTCAAATGCAGGCTGTACTAAATTGATACGATAAATGCGAGCAATACATTCAACGGCTTTGTTTTTGATAAGCAAGTGACAGCATGACGTATGAGTCGAATACTTACCAAAGCCTTGTGATGGTCCAGCACAGTTAAGAATGCACATGAAAATACAAAGCATATTCAATGTTAAAGATTAAATACATAACTAATTTATTCAATTCAACTCGGAAATGATTATTATCTAAAGAGATATGAAAAGGAGTATTAAGTAAAAAAATAATTGATTTCCAAAAAAAGAAATATTCCAGGAAGCAGTTTTTTATACAAAATTATACAAGATCAACTTTGTCCGTAATATTAAGTCTGCCTTTGATGGGCACGTAATGCACCGATATGTTACTAACACGTGCCTTTAAAACTAGTAAAATTAACAATGGAAATAGGATAGAAATTGGAAAAGTCTATTTTCTATTTTTTAACAGATATCTTAGAATGATACTCTGAAGAAGATGGCAGATTGCAAAGAAGGCTCTGGAATGTAGCCCCTTAATCGATATATGTAGGCTGGGTTCCCGGCAGACCATGCGAAANGTTTTTAACAGATATCTTAGAATGATACTCTGAAGAAGATGGCAGATTGCAAAGAAGGCTCTGGAATGGAGCCCCTTAATCGATATATGTAGGCTGGGTTCCCGGCAGACCATGCGAAACTCGGGTTAAGCTGGAAGGAGCTCAAAGCGATTGCCAGAAACAGAAAAAGATGGCGTGCAGATGTAGTAGATGTTCTCTGTCCCGCTTAGGATCAAAGAAAACGAAGAAGATGATTTTTGGGGCTTGAAGGGCTAACAACGCCATTGCTTTCTTCCGCAGACATATGGTTCCAAAGCTCTCTCACTCGCAAACTCATCCCAAATGTAGAGATGTCCTTCACCATTTGGTACCTCCACTGTGTTCGTGGGTATACCTGCTTTCGTTGTCCACCCAAGGATACCGAATCGAAGAATCATTTTCACTGCGCCACTATCATCGAAAGCATTGGTTGTGAATGCATGAACCACGTCCATGTCATTGTAAAGATCGGTATTATTTTATCTTCTTCTGTAACCGTCAGCCACACGAACAGGACCATATATATTGCGGGGATTTGTTCTCTTGGGGACCCTGTTTTTCAATTGCCTACCGAGTTCAAAGTAGCACCTGTTGCCAAGAGTTATCTTAACCCTCGTCTGATTTTCAATAGTTTCAAAGAGATCCTTCTCAATTTGAACAGAGCTAAAAATTGTGCCGAACTTCAGTCTACATAACTGTATAAGTTTTTCGGGATCGTATGTATATTTCGACATGAAGTCATATACGCAGCTTTTTGGGTACCCCAAACGTGGCTTTGAAATCAAAAAAAGCACTTTTCCAGTATGGGAGTCTGGTCGATGGTTGATATTCCAGGTCTAAAGCCACATTGAGATTGACCAATCCGTTGGTTTATGAAGACATTCAGCCTTGCCAACAGTATCTTCGATTGGACTATATGTACAAGCAATGCGGAGAACGTTTATCCCGTGGTGATTGGCGCAAAGAACAAAATCTCCTTACTTGTGAATTGGATCAGGTACCCTGGTAAATTCGATAAACCAGCGCTTCGCCGTTAGATGTTAACCGCCATAGTCTATCGCATCTAAGAGCTTTGTTGTTTTTAAGCCATGCTTTATTCTTTTCTGTACGCGGCACCAGTATGCCTTGTTTTTCTCGGATGGAGCGCAAATGCGGCTGCCGGACAATTGACTACGCAGTCGATGTTGCACCTATGGGTAAAGGTAAACACCTCGATATGCTTTATGTACTTACCCAACGGTATCTTAACATGGTACCAAGTGGGCGTTCAAAAGTGGCTCCGCCGTCAATCACAGTAAGACAGAACGGGTCTTATTCACTAGAATATATAAAATTACTGACGTTGTTCCTCCCGCTGTTGGACCTCAGCGCTTACAGCTATCTGAAAAGGTCAATTACTAAGGCTTGATCGTTGACAGGAAGTTGTGGCGGAGGCCAAACGTCGCGGAAAGGGTAAGAAAGATATCAGTGGACTTCTGGTGCTGAAGGGGAGCTATTGTAAAGAGAAGGTAAGTTAGGCCCAAAATTGTCTTTTGGCTCTACGAAACCGTAGTCTATTATGTTTTATGGCACTCCAGTATAGTGGAACGTGCTTTAAAAGGCTACACTAGCTAAGTAGCTGGAGCTCGTGCAACGGGCTGCTTTAATTAGTATTAGTGGGGCACTGCGGACTACCCCATCATTGGCACTTAACGCAAATATAAACTCTTGTTACTGCACGCGAAACTTCCACAGCGCGATCAGATATTAGACTCAGGAGCCCGAATGGTTGACCGACTTAAGGACTGGACATTCTGGAATTATAGTGACTTCGATTCCATCCCTGATCTCACGGATTACTCCGTCACCGAGATCGCTCCTAAGAGTTTCTTCTCTGCCCATTTTCCATCTAGGAAGGATTGGGCCGGAGAGGGGGAGCAGTGACCTTCTTCACGGATGGATCGAAACTCGTCGGCAGGGTTGGTAGATGAGCCTTCTGTCGAGAGGTTTACGGACTGCTGCAGTGTATTTCAGGTGGAAGTGGCTTCTATTAAAGAGGCGGTGTAGTCACGGGAGTCATGAGTGCGATGACAGTTAGGAAGGTGAGAACTAATTCTGATAGATAAGCGACCTTCGGGCCACTGGTCAATTGGCTGAACGTATTACCTGATCCCGTATATCGCAGTAGCCTAGAGGAGCCAGATGACGTGCAGGAATCACCTCAACACTACCTTCTTAGGTGCCCAGTATTTGCCCGGCTAAGGCTGAATTACTTTCGCTCTCAAATCCTTAATAGCCCCGAGGAGCTCTGGGGCATTGAGATTTCGCAAATGTTTCGATGCTGGTGTTCGGTACTTGTAACTACTATGTACCGTGTCGCCCACTGTCAGAGATGTTTCCAAAAGTGTGATAAAAGGATTACGGGAATGAACTACCCTTGCCATTGAATCTTATAAAACCATTACCTGGTGCTTCGAGAATAAAGATGATTAAATTAAGGGTCGAATTTGGATGGAAAAGTTACCATTTAGTTTTCTTCGCAAATTTAACTTCCCTCACTTAATTCTCATCCTTTTACGGGAGTAAAACCTTTTAAAACTAACTATATGGGCTTTTTTGGCCATTGATTTAATTATTAGGAGATCCGTTGGATTCATCACTCGGAATTCAAATAATTTTTTCATAATCGAAATAATAGTGTTTTTTTATGAGAACAGCAATTTTAGCCATGGAATGAAGTTCTAAATTTGAGTTTTTTATGCCAATGTTTAAACACAATAACTCATTAATTAACTTTAAAAAATATTTCGAAGGTATAAAATAAATTTTTCACATGCAGGTAAAATATGTATAAATGAATTGCGGGGTTTTAGCCAATAAACACTACCAAAAACTAAAATTAAAGTAAACAAAAAAATTATCATTGTTTTCTAGCTCCTATAATTCCCCATTGCGTCTTACCTTTATGCGTGAGACCGCCTCTTCG